CTCACTGTGTGCCACACGCTGTCACAGGCCCCCCTCACTGTGTGCCACACGCTGTCACAGGCCCCCATTCACTGTGTGCCACACGCTGTCACAGGCCCCCCTCGTTTCCTCTCCATGGAGCAGAATGGTGTGGCCAGTTTCAGACTTTCTGAAGACGCAGTGGCTGCTGGAGAGGGGCTAGATTAGGACGGGAGACCGGCCAGTTAAAAGACGGCTGGCATCTGGGAAGGGGTGAAGCTGGCCGGTCCTAAGGTTGGACGGAAAGACGGCGAAGAAGACAGATTTGGAGTAAAGCTCCGAGGTGGGCTTGAGCAGGCTACTCTAGTGTCGTGAGAAGAAGCTGGCATCAGGATGGTGCCGCGTGTCTACGTCCAGGGGTCTCTTTCCTGAGATGGGAAGGCTGGGGAGGAGCCCTCTGTGTGGCTGCGAGGCGGCCCTGTGGGCCCTGTCGCTTCGGGAGTGTCAGCCAGCCAACACCTCAGCACACAGCAGGCTGCACCGCCCCCACCCCGGGCAGCGTTCTTCATAAGCGGAGGGTTGAAGACCCACAAGGGCACGTCTCTGGGGCGCAGGAACAGGTGGTTTGTGTGGCTCTGCAGTTAGCTGGATCTGGGGGACTGCTGCCGGGAAACACTGAGGGCCCTCGGGGTGGGTGTGACTGTTGGGCGCCAGCTCAGACTCTTCCTAGCCTTGCCTTTTCTGGGCGTTCCAGGTTCTGGGGGTGTTTCAGATAGGGAGGCACTCGAGGGCGATTTGGGTCTGCTTGCTCAGGCCAGTCCACCTGTGGAGAGCTGGGGACAGACGAGGCATGACCCAGAGAGGCCAGACCACAAGCATCCTGGGATGGAGTGGCCCTCCAGCGTGACAGGGCACAGGCCCTGCCCTCTGCTGGGACCAGTTCTGTGTCCAGTGTGAGACCAGAGGCCTGGACCTCACCCGGCCTTGCCACTGGCAGATGGCGTGCTTTTTCGTGCGACAGGGACCACAGTGCCCACGTCACAGGGCCGTCTGGGGACCAGTGGGCCTGGCCTGGAGGCAGCGTTCTGGTTCCATTTGAAAACCCCAAGGAGCTGACTTGTACTGTCTTCCTTCCCCATGTCCAGGAGAAAAGCAGCCTCCCAGACAGACAAGCCCGCTGATAAGAAGGAAGAGGACAGCCAAACGGTGAGCTGGCCACACCCCACGCCACTCATGGGCACAAAGGAGCCACGGCCTGGCCTCCGTGGCCCTGAGGGGCACTGGTTTGAGGTTTCAGGACCTCCAAACAGCACCCACCCCACTTCTCCCCGACACTGACCAGTGTCCCTGCTGGGCTGCTCCTGCTCTGCCTTCAGGGGCTCAGGCCTGGGGGACAGACGGCCAGGATGCCCCCTGGGACACTGCAGAGTGCGGGAGGGGGCCTCAGTCCGCCCAGGGGAGCTCAACAACAAACCATGTGACCAGTGCCATGACCAAGGGCCTCAGGGCCAGGGAGACACTTCCAACATGTGGGGGCTGTGAGCTTCACTTTCAAATGATTTCTTTTCCTAAAGGCTGTTGATCAAGTAGGAGCCGGGGGTGTGCCACGCAGGGTACCACGGGTCTCCTGGCTCTGTCCTAGGCGACAGCCTCCAGCGGGGCTGGCCCCCCGGGGCACTGAGCTCCTGCTTCCACTTGGGGTGCTCGTCCACTTTTCCTCCAGGTGAAGCTTTTCCTATACAGTCTGTCCTGTGACTGCTGCGTGTTCACCTTAGCTACAAGGGGCCTGAAGGTGGCCTCTAGGTGGCAGACCACAGAAGAGAGGCCCCCATAGCGCACACCTGTCTGTCCTGTCAGTCAGGGCCGCTGCTGACCCTTCCATCATCCCAGGCCACTTTGCAGCCCTGTAGATCCCACACCATGCACTGCCAGACCCCTCAGGGCCTTGGCACCACAGCCCCCTGTGCCTGGAGTCGCCAGGTGCAGCTAACTCCTCCTCACCCTTCTCTGCTCAGACCTGGCTCCCCAGGGAAGAGGCCTCCGGCCCCATGCTAGGTGGGCTCCCTGCTGCCCGGCGACCAGCACTTCTGAGCATGTGCTGCCCGAGTGCTCATTCTGCGTCCCTCCCTCCTGACATACTGAAGCCTGGGAGGCCAGGCCCTGGGTCTCCTTGCCCTGCCCGGGGTCCTTCAGTTACCCCACCCCGGATTCTGAACGGCAGGTGACCGCCGGTGTCCAAGCACGGTGGCCTTGTCTCTGCCAGCAGCTCCGAGCTCTGGTTGGCTCTTACCTTGCTGCTCAGGCCATCACTGCCCAAGTAGTCCCCGAACCCACCCTCGGCCAGCGTGGGGGCTGCAGTCCGAGGGGCTTCAGGAGGAGAAATGCCTGGAACCCATGGACCCCAGGAGGGGCTTTCTTTGTCCACCTCTCCCCACGCCCCATCTTGTCCTTCCTTGTGTTTCATCGGCCCAGTCATCACCACCATCCCCTGGTGGTTCTCCTCACGGTCTCTGCCAGGGCTCAGCCACAGGTCTCCGTGACGGAGATGTGGGGAAGTGACAGGTGCAGTGGGCGGCCAGAGGCTCCTAGGAGAAGCATGGGCGGCGGGCAGTAAAGGCTGGCAGGGCGGAAGCAGGAGCATACGGCACCCAGGTGGCAGGGTGAGGGCGAGGGTGACAGAGCTGCAGCGCCGGGCTCCACCAAGGGCTGTGCCCCCAGGAGCCAGCCTCTGTCCCCTGAACAGCGGGGCGGCTCCCCAGGCGGCCAGCAGACCAGCGCTGACAAGCCTGCGGGCTGGCTGGAGACACGCATGACCTCTCAGAGGGGTCTTACCCTGCCTCCCTCGTGACAGTCCAAGAGAGGAGAGGCCCCCGCACTCAGGTTTCTAGGGCACAGCCAGCCCTGACCTGACGTGGCCAGTGTCTGCATAGTACCCCCATGTCAACCTCACAGGCCTGAGGAGTTAGTGGGGTCTGGGACACAGACGAGGTTGCTCAGAAGGGCACGTGACAGCGCCCCAGGCTCCCCCAGCTGCAGCAGGTCGGGGCGAGAAGGCCGTGCTCACGAGACAGCTCGGGTCCTCGGGAGGGCAGGGGGCCTGAGGAACCGTGTCTCCCTCCAGCCTTCTCCTGCCGGGTTCTGCCTGCAGTGACAGGGCCCCACACTGTGATTCGGGGTTTGCATTTTCTCAGTAATGTTTGCTGTGTGGCTGGTGACAAATGTTCTAGAAAGTTTGGGCAGCTGAGGCTTTGTGAGTCTGTGCAGAGGCCCTGCCTGTTCTGAGCTGACCAGTGGCCTTCCTTTCTGTTCCAGGAAGACCCGAGCACCTCTCCTTCACCGGGGACCCGAGCAGCCAGCCAGCCCCCCCACTCCTCAGGTACGGGGCGCCGTCCTGACCCAGCGCAGCCGGACCCAGCCCCTCGTTCCACGGGCGAGCGGAGGCCAGGAGGCCACACGCTGGGCTCCTGGAGGAGCCTGGGTTCAGCGTCGGCCCCCACACCGATCTCAGGGGCGGGGCAGGAGCACCGGGAAGTGCTCGCATGAACCAGGTCATGTCTTCCCCAGAGGACAGCCGTAGGTGTCAGAACACACAGACACCTGGCTCACCCCTTCTCCCGCACAAGGGGTGGCACTTGCCTAACATCAAGTCATGGAAAACCATGGAAGGCTCCCGACTGGGGCCAGTGCTCTCAAGAGGAGCGGGTCACTGCCAGAACTGATGCCACCCATGGAGTGCCCAAAGGGGCTGATGACAGGGCTTGCCAGTCAGACCCCTGCCTGCTCAGATTGCTCCGTCAGACTGTGAAGAGGTGGGGGATGAGGAGAGGTGACAAGGCTTTGCAGTGGGAAGGAGAGGCCGGGGTCTGTTCCTCAGTCACTCGGCAAACACGGGCAGCGGCCAGTGCTCAGGACAGAGGGGAGAGGCAGCGAGAGTTGGACCACCGCCTGGGCAGAGGCAGCTGGCCAGCTGTTCGCTGTCAGTGGGGAGTAGCCCCGGGCCTGCACCAGCTCCCGTGTTGTTTGTGACCCTTGGTGTGCCCACCTCCCCCAGGCCTCTCCTCCTTGGACGAGGGGCGGCACCTCCAGGCCTACGGAATCACTGCAGACTCCTGCTCTCCTTCACCCCTTCCAGCCTTCCCAGTTAGCAAGGTCACAGGCTCTGCCCAAGGCCACTCCCTGGAGCTTGGAGTGTCCCCACACCCATGCCCGAAGGCCCAGTGCTCACCCCAGAGAGAGGGTGAGTGGGAGACCTAGGGCTGTCTGCTCATCCCGTCAAGTCAGCAGGCTCCACACACCTGCTGAAGGAAAATGAAACACGGCCATCAGCTGTCGTCCAGTCGGTTCCAAAAACTCAAAACAAAAGCCCCAAACTCATTGCCTTGCAGTCAGGTCTGACTCATAGCAACCCCTCCTTGGGTTTCCGAGGCGGTATCACTACGGAAGTAGATTGCCCAACCTTCCTTCCAAGGAGTGGCTGGTGGATTTGAACCGCCAGCCTTCTGGTTAGCAGGCAAGTGCCTTAGGCACTATGCCACCAGAGCTCCTTAAATCACTAAAGAAGTGAGAAAAGCCGGCTTTCAGGCTCCACAAAAGAAAGGGCTAGGTGGCCCAAGAGGGGTATTCTGGTGCGGTCATTGGGGGCCAGCACACGGGGAGCATGGGGCCCCAAAAAGAAACGGGACCACAGCTGCCCTGGGAACTCCTCACCCTGGGCCATTGCCAGGGCTCTCTGGTCAGCTGTAGACACCACCCTCAGGAGGGCCTCGGCCAGGGACCGTGCTCTGAGGAGAGGGCCCACTCAGCGAGGCCCGTACCAGGCCTGGCAGCAGGTGGGGTGAGGGGCGTGAGTCCCGAGCAGAGAGCGCCACCGCCCAGCCTCCAGGGCGGCCCGGGTGGAGGACAGCAAACACAGAGGCAGGTTCGAGCTCAGCACCAGGCCACCCCTTCCTGACGGGCCAGGGCTTTCTGCTCGAGTGTGACCTGGAGCTGGCTGGGGGCCGCCACCAGGAGTCCAGCCAGCTCTGACTCTTCACTTCTGCCGTGTCCAGAGGCTGGCCGGAAGCCCTGGGAGCGGAGCAACTCCGTGGAGAAGCCAGTGTCTTCTTTACTGTGCAGGTGAGCCGCCCCGGGACACGCACGTCCGGCGGGCGGAGGTGGGCCCGGCCCCGATTCACATGTCTGCTTCGTTCCATCGCCCTAGAACCCCGTCTGTGGCAAAGAGCCCCGAAGCTAAGAGCCCCCTTCAGTCACAGCCTCACTCTAGGTACCGACAACCCTCTGCCCATGTGTCCCCCACTCTGGGTGCGTTTGTCCCTGGCCCCACAACTAACACGCCCCCACACCCTGTGTCCTGTCTTGTCCTTTAACAGTGTGCTTGGGAGCGGGGTCTGTTCTCTCAAAACCAGGGAGCCGTAGCTGGAGGCTCATGTGAGGAGCTCCTTCCTCCTGTTTCCATGGGGGCTGGGGGTCGGAGGGAGGGGCGGGCGGGGAGAGGCGGAGGCCCAGGGAGGTGACTTGTTCAGAGGTGGGGAAGAGAGCCGGAATGGAGGCCCGGACCTGGAGTCAAACTCCATGACGCTAGGCAAGTTAGGAGACTTCTCCCAGCCTCCATGTCCCCCTGTGAAATGGGGTCGGTTAATGCCTGCCTCCCAGGGCAGGACAGCTGTGGACGGCTCTCAGGGCTGGCCAGCACCCGGCCTCCTCGGCTGCACTGGGCCCAGGGCTGGCTGGCACCACACAGAGCCCGCCTTTCCCACGGACATAACGTCTGTATCACCCAAACTGAAAGGTGTGTGACAACAGGTAGAATATTTGGAACCCAGGTTGTTCAAAAAGTCCCCGCCAGCCACCAGGTAACCGTCAGGCACATGCGGGCCGAGTGTGAGGCCCTCAAGCTGTGGCCTGGCACAGAATGGACGCGGCTCCTAGGCAGAGCAGGCGATCCTGATCTTGAAGAATGAAACCAGGTGAGGCAGCCCAGGCACTGAGGCCTGCACGGGCAGGTGCAAGAGACAGGAGGGACCCAGCCAGGCCGGGTCGAGGCCTCTGGTCAACCAGACTCCATGTTGGGCCAGTCCCTGCCCAACAGGAGCTGCTTCTGTGTTGGAGGGCCTCGCCAGACAGGCTCAGTTCTGGGAGGTGCTCGGAAGACAGGCTACCACAGGGAGTCGGTGGGATGGACAGGCCGCAGCCAGAAGGGTGCAGGGCTTACCCCAGGTGACTGAGACTTAGAGGAGACGTGCAGGTCAGAGGGACAGCTTTCCAAGCTGAAGGAAGGGTAGGTGCCAAGGTTCTGAGGTTAGAAACAATGTGGCAGGTCCAAAAGACAGCCGGTGGCCAGTGGGAGTCGGGGCTCAGGTGCAGGGGTGGGGAAGAGTCAAGTGGTAGGAAGCTGGGGTTCAGTTGGGGGGTACCCTGTGAGGAGGCTTCTGGAGAGCTTACTGGGGCTCCAGGGGCATGAGCTCTGGTGGCGTAGTGCTTAGGCATTTCACTGCTAACTAGAAGGCCAGTGGTTCAAACCCACCAGCTGCTCCTCAGAAGAAAGGTTGAGCAGTCTATCTCCGGAAAGATACTACCTCAGAAACCCAAAGAGGGGTTGCTATGAGTCAAATCAACTCAATGGTAGTGAGTTTGGTGGGGCTTTTTGTTTTTTGCTTTTTGGTTTTTAGTGTCCTGAGCAAAGCAGGGGACCAGAGAGGAGATGGGCACCTATCAGCTCCTGCCCTCTCTGCCACCCTGCTGCCCTCTCCTTGGGCTGGTGCCTCCCTCCGTCCCATGTCTGACCCTCTCTGGCAGCTCTGAGACCAGGCTGTGGCACTTGCTGGAGGGTTCCTCATCCCCTGCAGTAGCATTACAGGGCTTACGAAGCTGCTGGTACCATCAGTGCGATTGTCAGTGTACAGACGGGGAAGGGGGGCCCAGAGGGAGGAATGATTGGCTGCAGCTCTGGCAAATTATGGGACCGGGGACTGGAGCCCACAGGGCTCAGCTGGGCCTGGTTACACACCAGGGCCCGAGGTGCTCAGAACTTGTCCAGGATCCTGCGTCTTTCTCGAGTTTACCCAGGACGGGCAGAAGCCCTTTGTACTATATCCTGCTCTCCTTGGTTTGGGAACACTGGGCCCCACCGTCCCAGGGGTCCTGGTGTGCAGACCAACGTCCACTCCCAGCCCATCCACCTGGACTCGGACCACACTCACTTCCCTGAGACCACAGGCTCCAGCCGCCGTCCTCGCCACACAGGGCGAGAAACTGGGCCAGGGAACATGTCCATGGCCCCGTGGGAACAGTTGATGAGGCCAGGAGGCCAGACACGGGTTTTTGCCAAGATTCCCACAGGCAGAGACATGACATTTCAAGCCAGGTCAGCTCAGAAACTTTGAAGTCTGGTCTGGGAAGACCCTGCCTCACTTCTCTCTGCTGTCCCTGCTGGGTTCCAGCCTGGGTTTAGCAGGAGCAGGGCACTCAGCAGGGTCTGGGTCCTGTGTTCTCTCACCTGTGACCTGTGTGCCCAGGTTGCCGCGTCTCTGTGCACTCAGAGCAGAGCGCAGTCCTCTGTGGGATCCTGTGTCCTGATTTCTGGGTGGGGAAATACGGGCACAGTCCCCATGGAGGCCCCCTTGGGGTGGAGACCACATTAGCGCCTCTCGGTCACTGAGGACCAACCAGGTCAAAAGCGGAGGATGAGGGAGCCAATGGGCGGAGGCCGGGAGGCTGCGGAGCCCAGCGGCAGGGTGGCTGCCACCAGGCCCCACACCCTCTTTACTGCCCCCGCCCTCAGGATGAAGCCGGCCGCAAGTGCAAATGACGTGGCCCTGGATGCCTTAGATTTTGACCGGATGAAGCAGGTGAGTGTGTCCCTCCCCAAGGGGCTGTGAAAGGGCCATCCTGGCCCGTGTGGCCTGGCAGGCACAGAAGGACCTACACTCAGCTGCCAATGCAGGAGAGAGGCCCCTGCTCTTCTGGGCATGCCCAACAGCCAGCCTCTGGGGCCCCTAGTTCCAGCAGCCCTTGGCCTCATCAGGGTGCCCCTGGGGTGGAGTGGCAGGCCCTGCCAGGGCCCCATCCCCTCAACCCCAGGCCCCTGGAGAGGGCAGCCCAGGGGCCACCTGGGGCCACATGAGGGGGATGTCGTGGCTCTGGGGACCCCCTACCCTGAGGGCATGAAGCCTCGGCAGGGCCAGGCTCTCTGTCACCCCATCACCCATTCTGTGGCTCTGCCCCTCCACAGGAGATCCTGGAAGAGGTGGTCAGAGAGCTGCACAGAGTGAAGGAGGAGATCATCGAGGGTGAGTGGCTGGGGGGCGGGCCAGGGCCGCATGGGGCCCCCCAGGGCTGCAGAGCTATGTTCCTCCTCTTGACAGCCCCCACCCCATGAGCTAGTCGAGGAAACGAGGTTCAGAAGGGTTAGGGGACTTGGCCTGCGAACACTCAGCTGCCCACTGGCAGGACCCCTGGCTCTGAGCTTTCTCATTTCCCCATGCTTTTCCATGGAGGGTTCCCCAGAAAAAACCCAACCCACTGCCATCAAGTCGATTCCGACTCATAGCAACCCTGTAGGACAGGGCAGAACTGCCCCGTAGGCTCTCCAAGGCTGGAATCTTATGGAAGCAGACTGGCTCATCTTTCTCCCACAGAACAGCTGGTGGGTTCGAACCACCGACCTTTCGGTTGGTGGGCAAGCATTTTAAGCACTGCACCACCAGGGGTTCCTCCGTGGCAGGTTAGCCGTGGTAAGGGTAGCAGAGGGAGAATGATTCGGCAGGCGCACTCCGTCACCTGTCAGCTGACCCTGTCACCGCTGAGAGCAGCTACCAGCTCGGCCTGACCCAGTTTCCGGCAGTGCGGCCCCAGAGCTCCACAAAAAGCCACTGGCTCGAGACCAGAGCCGGAGCTGGAGCCCAGGCCAGGGGCCTTGTCACAGTAATTCATGTCCCCAGGCTTTGATGGAGCCGCTAGGATCTGGAGCCAGAGGGCAGGGAAGGCTGGGTGGGGGCGCAGCCCTGGGCACGGCCTGACCCCCAGAGGCAGCAGGAGGAGGGCCACACCTGGGCATCCGCGTGACCTGGCCAAGAGGTTTCTGTGAATACAAGCTGCGAGCTAAAGGCAGTGGCTGACTGGACGGGGCACAGGGCCGAGTGTCACACTAGGCCTTCCCAGGCTGCGGGGGGCTGGCCACACCCCGTGTGGACGGAGAGCACCGTGTCCTATTAGTTCCGTTCTCACCGAAGGCCCAAGGCTGGACCAGAGGCAGACCCCCCCGGCCACGGTGCGCTCTGCTTTGTGGCCGCCCCCAGGGCCAGTGCTGGGTCAGGAGCCAGGCGACGCCTGTCTCCCAGGTTGCAGAGGCCATGAGAAAGCTGGGCATATGGAGCGGTCAGGCCTGCCCCTCAGTTCACAGCCAGTGGCTGCTGCTCTTCCTGGGCGTCTGGCCTCCAGGGCGAGAAGCATCTGTCCAGAGGGCGGTGGCGAGGGGAAGCCCCGAGTCGGGGGAGGGAGCATGGCGCGGCCCAGCACCTTATGGTTCTACCGAAAGGCCACCCTGCCTTGGTCTCTGACCCTGCCCTGTGACCTCAGTGAGTCTGCTGGGGCAGTGAGAGCCCTTGGGAGACTGAGCAGGCAGCAACCCTGAGAAGGGCCGCAGCGGGACGTGGGGCAAGGCCTGACCACGACGCCCCCGCTCTGTGTGTCCCCACTGGGGGGGGTCTAGTCCTGGGCCCGGGGAACAGGGACAGGCCCTGCCGCCCTGTCCTGAGCGTCCTCCCCTGTCCTGTTCCCCAGCCATCAGACAAGAGCTGAGCGGGATCAGCACCACATAGTGGGCCCTACCGTTGCCGCCACCAGGGACAGCGAGGAGCCCCGGCCCCAGCAGCACTCGCCAAGCGGACGTGCGTCGTTTAAAGTCTTAACCTGTGATGAATATTCAGAAGGAGGCCAACGCCCACCTCCTGGATTTTTTAGGTCATGCCCAACACGGCACACTGGGCGGCCCGCCTCTATTTTATATTTGCATATTTAAGTGTATGTTTCGTTTGGTTTATAGAGGAAGCCCCGGGTCACACGCGTCATTAGATGGTTTCCAAGTTTTCTCCTCGTGGACGCTCTGTCCGCGCCGCGTGGCGTCACCAGACACACACAGCTGTGCGGGCGCCGTCCCTCCCCAGCGACCCTGTCGAGCGGTCGTCCGTGCCACGGTGTCTGTGTTCACTGGGTAATAAACTCCACTGTCCACTCTGTCCACTTCAGCGCTCTCTCCTGATGGCCACCTGGTCACCCCTGGCAGGGGCTGCCCCTTCTCAGGGAGCCAGAGCCCTCATGCCCAGGAGTGGCAGGAGCAACATAGGGGCTTCAAGGGTGGCAGGGAAGGGGGGTAGCACGGGCACCGTGTGCCAGCCGGGGCCCACCACCCTCTGAGGGCCACAGAGGAGGGGAAGGGACTCCAGCCTCCAGAGCCCCAGTTTGGCCAACCCAGGGAGCTACCGTTTCCGGCTGGGCTTAATCACGCTGAAGACTGTCCTGCTCGAGACGTGAAGAGACTGAGGCCCAGGGCTCTAAGTGGCTCTTTCCTCCACCTTCCCCAGAGCCCTGCTGGGATAGCTCGGGGCCCCCTGTGACCCTGCAGCCCCAGCCTAGCTGGCCGCCCTCCTGGGCATGTGGTGAGTTGGGGGGGGGCGGGTGCAGCATGGCCCTCAGAGGCCGGTGTGCACGAGAGCGACCTCCCAGGCTGAGTGCTCCCAGGCCCTGCAGGCAGGGCTGTGCTCCCCGCACGGGGCAGGCCTGGGACTCGGCCGCACAGCTGTCGACTCCATCTCGGGAGAAGGCTTCCTGGCACGGCACCTGGCTCAGGTCTGGCGAGGGCTCCCTGACTCAGCCTTCGAGCCTCCCACTCCTGGGGCAAGATGGGCCAGGGGAACCCACTCCACTGCCCTGCTCATGGGGTGGTCCTTGGGCCAAGCCCTGCCTGCAGGGTGGCCCAGCTCAGGGTCCTCCCTCACTGCCAGCCTCTGTGAGACCAGGACTATATCCTGCCCCCCATCCAGCTCTCCCCACAGGCTAGCGTGGTCTCCAGGGCTCTAGGTCTCAGCTGTGCTGCCAGCCCCACTACAGTCAAGACAGACAGACAGACACCGAGGGAGCCGCCAGCTGCTCCCTTGGAGCCAAGGGCCCCCTGAGCTCCCTGCTGACTCCCTGTCACCCGCCCATAACACTAGGAGTCGTCCCCCGGCTGGCATCGCAGACATTAGGGGTCCCCCGGCCGGCATCGCAGACACTGGGGCCTCAGAGACGAGCGCGCACGTGCAGGCAGCAGTGGCACCCTCCTCTGGGGTGAGCACGAGGGGGCTGCAGCCGAGGGCTGGCTCGGGGCCACACATCTGGCCACTCGGAAAGCACAGTCCCAGGGCCATGAAAACAAGCGCTGAATTTAATGTGGGGCTGGAACGCCATGGGACGAGGCCCCAGGAGGCCATGGATATAGTGCCAGTCAGCCAAGTGGGCAGGGCTGTCCAGGGCAGAGGGCTGTGTGCCACCCAAGGTGCCCCCAGAAGTGCTGGGGCTCAGCAGGGAACTAGGGCAGCGGCCAAGGGCCCAGGAACAAAATGCAGCCGGACCAGTTCTGGGGCGCTGGGCCATGTGACGGGCGGCCAGCACCCTGCAGGCCTCTGCCCATCACAGACTGTCATCTGCCAACTTGTACACCCGCTTCACCCTGGTGTAGGGTCCCAGCGAGTCTTCGAACACGAAGTCCCAGAGCACTTTGACCCACGAGTGGTGCTGTGGCAGGTGGTCGTAATACTCCGGGGCAATCTTCCGTACCTGGGGACAGGCAGCTGTCAGCGGGCTGGCAGCCCTGAGCTCTGCTCCCCGCCCTGTCCCACCCCCAGCCCACCCTGGAGTCCCTGTGTGGAGCCCCACGGTGCTCCCACAGCCCAGGCACGCTGGCTGGAGCCCTGCGGGGCACTGCTGAGCCCAGGTTACGCCCGTGCTCTTCGGCCGGCTCTGCCCAGCCGCTCTCCCACCCTCCGCACCCTGCCCATCACCCCCTTCTCTGCCTCTGTCCTCCCCACGCCAACTGTGTCCTCTGTAGCGCCCCGCCAGCCCACCACCAGCATCTCAGCCTCCCCCACACCCCCGTCCCCGTGTCCTCTTTACAGCTGACACCCAGACTCAGAACGAGGATGGGTGCAAGCAGGAAAGTGGGGACATCCAGGCTCGCAGTTGGCAGCAAGTGTTGGTGCAAACGGACCAGGGTTAGATTCAGGCTCCAATACCTCCAAGAGGCCGGCCCCCCCAACCTCTGCCTTCTCTCTGCAAGGTGGGAGAATGACAGCCCTGCTGCAAAGACTCGGGGCAACAGGGCGGGAGGAGGGGCCCAGAGGGACACATGCATACACAGGCAGGTGAACACGTGTGGACGCAGATACTTGCATGCACGGGGCATGCACACAAACACAAATGTGTAGCGTGAGGCACACTCAGACATACATGTCCACACCCAGGCATGCACATGTCAGCAGTAAACACACATACAGAGATCGACATGCAGAAACATACACATGGGACATGCTAACACGTGTCTACATGTTAGTGCGTCCATGTGCGAGCAGGTGGACACATGCACGCACACGTCACACACACAAACGTGCCCATGGGGACACTCACAGGCACACGTTAGCATGTGCCCACACAAGCAGCTGCACCCCATGCTCCTGGGTGCCTCCCCACCCTGCACACGGCACCACCTCCCTCCTGCTCTGCAGCGGCCATCTCGGCTCCCTAACCAGCCAGATGCTATCACAGGGCCAGATCCAAGCTGCCCGAGCAAGGGCCTCCTCTTCCTCCCCCCTCCCCCTTCCTCCCCTCTTTTTGGCAATTTTCCAGCCCCTGTCCCAAGGCAGAGGCACCAGCCCCCATGGCTTCTCCCCAGGAGCTCAGGCCAAGCTGTGTAGGTCACACAGGGAAAGGCCTACCCTGTCCTCAGCTACCTCTGAGCTATGAGCGACCACTGGCGGGCCACCAACAGGGCCAGGGGTCCGGAGACGGGAAGGAGCTTTGCATGCAGTGCCAACAATGCCGCCCTCGTGCCTTAGCTCCCCCAGGACACACGGTTAAGCCTGAGCAGGGTTCAATTAGGTTTTGAGGAAACCAAGCAGCCTGCACCGTAGAATGCCTCTGGGACCACCTCTCCCTGTGTTAGCCGGGCATTCCCCTACCTCCACCACGTGGCCAAGAATGACCACGTGGCCATCCCACGACCAGCACACAAAAGGAGGAAGCCAGAGTGTGGCCCAAGGTCCCCCACGCCCACCACCCAACCGCCCACCCACCCATCACCGTACCAGGGGCAGGTTGCAGCCGGGGATGCTGGGAAAGTCATGGTGCTCCACGTGGTAGCCCACGTTGAAGGTGATCCAGTTGAGGGGCCCGTAGTAGGAGTAGGTCTCGTGGCCCTTAAGGAACATGTAGTGCTCGGCCACAAAGTGGCCCGAGATGGGATGCAGACCCAGGCCCAGCAGGGAGCTGGCCAGCAGGTAGGCTATGGGCTTGAGCCCCCAGAGGCCGAAAATGGTGGCGTCGACGGCCAGCTGCACAAGGGCGTTGAGCACCTCCATGCGGGTGATAGCCTTGGGGTGCACGCAGAGCGGCCGCAGCGAGTAGAAGAACGGTTGCAGCGCCAGCCAGAGCAGCTTGCGGGCCGGCGTGCAGAACAGCCAGCCCTCGAAGCGTGAGGGCACATCCACGTCCAGCCCGTCACCGCCCAGGTAGCGGTGGTGGTCCACATGGTACTTCTTGAAGGAGGCGGAGTAGGGCACGCCCATGGGCAGGTTGGCGAAGATGGCGAACCAGCGGTTGTGGGCGGTGCGGCCCGTGCCAAAGGCGGCGTTGTGGGAGATGTCGTGGATGGCCAGGGTCAGTGAGTGGTTCACGCAGCCACCGAAGGC